TTTAGAATTCGGAATTTGGTAAATTATTTAAATAATTCAATAGAATTTCATATTTCGACTGCATCGCACAGTGTCTATATTGTTATCATGTCAGCGTTTCTGCTCTTATTCTTTCGTTATAATAATAATAATTTCCCGACTGAATTCATTCATATAGCCCAATGAATAGGATAATGTATGTTTTTTATCGCTATGTATAGTCCGTCTGTTGAATAATTCATTTAGAATAATAATAAATTTGTCATTATGCTCTGTCGCAGGGTTTTACACAAAGAAGCAATAATTTATGAAATCATGTATAAGTAATCTAGACGCTTGAAATTAGCAATAAAAAGGAAAAATAATGTATATCGGGTGCCGATTTCCTGTTAGGTTATGCGTGACGGTTGCATTAGGATGTCATTTCGAATTACTAGTAGCACTTATAAGAGTAGGCGTACTAAGAGTTTTACAAGGTGGTAATGCTTTTCGTTTAACTGAAAAGAAGAAAATCTTTAACAACCTCAGCTAAATCAATAACAAAAGAAAACTTAACAAAAAGTATGATGACATGAGACAGGCAAAAACCTATCCACAGGCATTATCCAACAAAACTTACCAATGAAATGATAATAAGGAACATTTTTCATCAATAGGTATTATTCTTTGTGTTAGTTTTTTCCAAAACATAAGTATAATAATTTCATTTTGTTGCCATATTGTTTGGTATATTGTTTTTGAATAGCTAAGTGAGCTTTATTATTCTTGTTAATTCTCGTAAAGTACAGTAGATCTTATATTTTACGAACTTCTCATTTTCTTAACGGTAGTGGCATACTCAGAATTTCCAATTATATAGTTTCAGCCCGTCATCTCTCACGGATACGTCACTACTTAACGGTTATATTATTTTATCGTGCAGCATTGTCCTTAGAATTAAACAAAACTCTGAATTTCATAACATTTTTTTTACTTGATCTATATTTTGAATACTACTCACACAATTTCCAATTAAGCAGACCACCAACGATCATTTTATTATACTTCTGTGTTAAAATGTGTACACAATAATCTATTATTATCTTTTTTGTTTTGATTCTTGGCCGTGACACTGATTGGTAGCTATTGTTTTTTCTAGGGGTTTTCATTGAATTCTGTGGAAAATATCACGAGGTGTATTTATGAGGCGTAACAGATCTAGCACGATTTACTTATAACTCCACTATCTAATTGGATTGATACCATAGATGACCGTTCCAAAACGTATAAAGACAACAATAATAGTGTTTTCATTAAGAAGGAAGGAAATCAATTTGCTTAACTAATTATAATATATCATGTTTTTTGAATTAATTTAACGAAAAATATATTTATTATAAAATTTACTTAACAACACGTTAACCTAGTGAAAACACAGTTGTTCCACAATATTACCCATTATAAATGAAATGTAAACACCTACCAGTGTACACTACTCTCGGATGTTAGCGAATAGATTAGTATTACATCGAGCTGTTGTTTGATTTATTTTTGAAGTAGTTAAATAATTTGGTTAGTTTAGCACAGATTCGTTAGTCGTATTAATAGGTTAAAATAAAAAATAAATTAAAATCCATTTACCATAAATATACAATTAATTTATAAAAATTGAATTTATATCAAGTGTTTGAAATGCAATAGAAGTTGTATTCGTTGAAAAGACAACGGTCACTTGAACGTGTTAGCAATTTTTAGAAGCGTTTCTGTTTTATTTTCGTGGGGATTCTTAGCTTTCCGAATTCGTCCGGTGTATTTTTCAAAATGACAGCACCCTTCAAATGTGGATGCTTAAGCGATGCCATTTCAGTACATGTCTACAATGCGACCCGTCGACAATTAATGGTACACCACATGCTCATTGGGATTACCAAACAACTTCAATTCGGCACGTTCCACAATATATCATTATGATTATGTACGCGGTGGGCACGTGTCGACGATGGCCCATTAAACAGACAAAACAAATATTCCAATCCTGACTCTTGTACACGACCAGTTAACTTAAACCGTTCGTCCAACTCTTGTTTATAATACAATTATCATCGTTTTTTATCTAGTAGCGCTTAAATATAGTACAACAGCTGTAGCGTGAGCAATAAGAGGAAGTGTCTCGTTAGCCGAGATGACAGTCACTGATATGAAAACGGTTGTTAAAAATGAAAAAAAAAAGTGTACTCTGTTACTGCGTAAACTTTTTATAACAGCTCTAACGTCTCGTTTTCCACACGTGTCAAAAATACTTTTCTATCGTTCGGCGTATACGTCAACTAGGAATCCACATTGAAATATTGAAATCATTAATTATCACTTTTGTTCTTCTACTTTTCAGAAACGAAAATTAAAAACAGCGAAAAATGATAGTTTAAAATGTGTATCCTTTTTGTTGGAAAAAAAAAAAATACAAACAAATCTCAATTCACTAAAGTTGCCATTAGTTTTCTAATAAAAAATCAATAGCCAACAAAATGAATATAAGTTTTTGACATCCTCGCCAGTCGACAACTACGCGTAATACCGATTTAGGACGTTATTGCTGTTTTTTACGGCCTAACTGTAAGTATTACGATTGTCATTGGTTGTTTAAGATAGATAATGTTGTTATAAAATTTGATGGTTTCACAAACGGTACAGTGCTATTATAATGTTCGTCTCTCCTCACCTGGAGGGCTCCAAGCAGAATGACAAGTCCAGGCAACGAACCAAACAACCTACTGTTTTGACTGTGTTCGACATTAGGGCAATTTCCACAAGAAAAATAAAAACCAATAGGAAAAATAAACGTCTGGTACACAAGTACATTATAGTATCTGTCACTTCCCTCGCAATGCACAAACGTTATGTAATTGCGGGGAATCTTCGGTGACAATACTATAGACCGAGTTATCGGTCTATCAAAAAATATATTTAGCAAACAATCAACGTATGGTTAAAGTTTCTGACGGATGATTTTTACAAAGGGCAAAATCTCTTCCTAGAAAATCTAACGAATAATCTCAACAATTTCATTAATAAACATCGTGTTACAAATTAATGTGTAAACATTTAAGGAGATGTTTGATTAATTTTATCATTCAACGTAAAAAATATGTATTCATTAAATGCAACTGCAATTAATTTTTATTTTAATGTTGTAAATTGCTACCGCCGGCGGAAGTGGCTATCAATTTTTCACTGCGTTAATGGGAATTTTAACTTATGTATTTAAGTGCTCCACCTGTTTCATTGAACGTTTTAGAGAGCAACACAAGTAATAGCTCCTTAAAAGTGCTATTAATTGCAATATGTACACTGAGAAATATAAATTAAAGGATTAAAAACAACTAGTGTTTCCTCAAAAAACTATTAATGACGTCGTTACTTTGGAAGACTATCACGGCGACAGTGCGCGAAAAGTTTGTAAATAATGTAACAGCATTGGTTAAATGTGCATTTGAAGAACCCTAAAGCTTTCAAGATCATTTTTCTTAAAATAACGTAACGCGTGCCAACTGTTTGTGATACAAAGTTTATATTTTATTCATATGTGTGTAACTTAATGTCTTTGGTACATTTGTGCAACGTTAAAGGTTATACTTGTAAGATGCTATCGAAAATATATTTTCTTTAACAGTTACACGAACAAAAAGTATTTTATAGTTTTAAAAAAATTACCTTAACAAAAAAAAAATTATAAAAGGCTAGTTTGATTAATATTAATCAATGTAATATGATATTTTTTATTAAAACTAAACCCCCACTTTACATGAACTAGTCTGATTTCATTCTAAACAGCATTTAAAATTAATGAACTGAAGATAATAAAGTTGGCATATATTTGTTAAAAATATTTAGTGTAAATATTTTAAAATTCGAAAAATGAATGAACGGTGCTAGGAAATAAAAATAGAACTCACGATTGGAATGAATCGATAAAGGAGTTTGTTGTACTCGGCTATTTTAGGAGACTATTTAATAATTCATACGCATAAAAATATCCAGGGACAAATTGTTTGCTTTGGTCAAAATTTTCTAGTTAAGCTTTCATTAATAATTCTTAATTTTTTTCAAGGTAAAGTAAAAGGCCTCCTCCTATCCAAATATAAAATTGTGCATACAAAAAACTCAATTCAATTTTAGTAGGAGATAGAACTAAATACTTGTACGGAAATTATAAATTATGGGAAAATATAACACTTAGGTTGAAAGATATGTTTTATTAAAACTTTTATCTTCAATGTTATCGAGTGAAGCGTAGTTAAGGAATCAATGTGTATAAAAAAAATATTTTGAAATTGCGAAGAAAGCATTAATAATTATGCTTACCGTCGCCAATCACTACTCAGCTCCTAACCATTTCTAAGTCTATAAATACCAATATCTCAAAAAGTAATGTTACAAAATTAGTTATTGACTAGTCAACATTTTATTTAGACCATTCTTAATTTATTAGTGAAAAAAAATAATATTAGTATCCCATTAAACTTTCAAAAGTTACTCGTAATAATGATTTTATTTTGTAATTGTACATTTTCTATGATTTATACAAATAAAACAAACTTTAATATGTACATCTTATCATTGAAATATTATTATTTAGTGAAAAAATAGGGGGTAGTTTTCTTGATAAATTACTCTACTTATCAATTAAAAATGTAAATATTGACTGTAAGTGATATTTAATTATTTAATACAGTAAGATTTATCAAAAGAAATGTGTACTTATAATGTCGTGCGGTTGTTAGTTTTAACATACATTAATATAGTGTTGAAAATACAATTTGTTACGATACTTAAAAAATGTTATTTTATGTACATCATATGCAATTTTCAAACGTGAAGTCAACTATGACCAAAACATAGCCGAGCTACAGTTTATTTATATAATTTCGGTCATGTTTTTCACAAAATTCATCATGCGACGGTAAAAACATTTACAGCGTCAACATCACGATGCACGTTGATCATCGTAAGTACTTTTTATCTAAGGGTAATAGAGTTCTTACCTGAATCGACAAATAACAGTATAATCGTGCACACCAAAACTGAAGACAATAACCTGCTGGACTTGCACATGTCATGCATTGTGTGAACCGACTGTCGCCGGTCCATGTTAATTCAAAGTCGACTGGACGTTAAAGAGTAAAGTTAATAATTGCTTAATCGGTTACGAACGATTTCGGTCGAGTGTGACCATATATCCAACGAGTAACTTGACACTGTCGTCAATATCCGTTTTGTGGACCACAAGGTGTGAAAATCAACGCGTAATATAATTACAAAAACACTTTGAGATCTAATATATATATATATATATATATGTTTATTCCGCAAGAAGAAATATAATATGTTATACAAAATAATAGGATAAATTGTTTATTTATATATTTAAGAGTAAAACGCACACTAGACGTTAAAATTCAAACGGCTACGGTTAAACTATCAGCTAAATAAACACACACACACACACACTTAACAATAATAAAATTGTTTGTTAGTAAATGAATTAATTTTATAGTGTTTACGAGAGTGTTCGCGGCACGTGCTCGGAGGACGGAACAACGTCGGCGTGCGTCTCGGCCAGTGGTGTATCGCAGCAACACTGAAGTAATGTTGTGCCGGCAACTGGCAGTGGTCGTTGGTATGCAAGAGACGGGCAGACGCTGAGACGATCCGTTGAGCACAGAAGTCGTTGTTGGAGCCCTCCTCGATTTGCTGGTCGTGTCGAACGCGCACTGTACAGCTCTATCTGACGGCAATCATCCCTTCGTCACCATTAATAATAAATCGTATTAATTATAATGCAAAATTATCTACAGGAAACAGTATAAATTGGTTCGGGATCCTACAACTATTGCTATAAAAATTCTTTGTTGGACCAAAAGTCATTTTGCTACCAACCAATAATCATTAGGTTTTAGAAAAACATGATCGGCATAATCAAAATTGTTAACATTTTTTTATTTTACTTGAAAATTCTAAAAACATTTGTATTTTAGGAAAAAAATTATATACTTCTTTCGTTCGGAAAATGTTGAAGACCTTTTTGTCGACGAGGCGAAAATTTAGGAGACCACGATTTTTCGAATTATTTAAAAGGATTCTTGTAGTACATATTCTCTATTCAAATTATCAATTTCAACCAAACAGTTTTCTCAAACTATTATATGTTAATAACAATAAGTTTCTAAAATAATATTAGACTAAAAATCATTTTTCTTGAACTTATATCACAACTAATCTTTGACGAAACAGAACAATCACTTTATGAGTGATATTAAAACACAAGGTGCAAAATAGATTTAACATGACAATTAGTATCATTTACAATTCAAATTTCTTTTTTGCAAAACATTACGGCGATTAATTGAACAATTCAGAATGAAATGATTAATATAAATATTTTATTATATTGTGAAAAAAATTAATTGGTTCAAAAAGTTTTACAAGTACTTTTTTCTTTTGATTATATAACAAAAGTATTTTTATTGAAAAATTTAGCATTTATCACAGTTATTAAATGTTATTAAATTAATTTTTAGTTTTAAATCGTACCAACAATTAAAAATTTAACCATTCATAATTCTTGCACAACAGATACATAACATAATTTTAATAATAAATACATAATCTATTAAATAAAATTATAGTTTTTCTTCCCAAAAATGTAAATAATTTATTAAAAAAAAACTTTTATATAAATATGATTAAGTGTTCCATAATATCAAAAACTGTTGTCAACTAATGCATAATAATTTTATAGTATTCCAAGTTTCTAATAGTTTGGCTTTCAATTAGAAGGGACGATGGAAATTGCATAATTTATAGAAATTACGAATTAAAAATATAGTTATTAATTAACAAATATTTAAGTGGTTATGAAAAGGGTTGTTATAAGGGTTCGGGACTTTAGCATTTTAACAAAGTTAATTTTAGTTATCCCGAGTACATTAATGAAAAATAGATATTTCTTTTTGCTTTTCCTAATCCTAATCAATGTATATTAATTATTATTTTAGTTTTTGGAGGGCCATCGTGAATTACTACCTCCTACAATTTAAAAACGTTATCCAAACAAATTTTATAAATCCAATAAATCCCGATTCTAGTTATTGTACAGAGATATGTGTTCTATCATTTGAAATTTTCGGATAAATGAGCGTGAAAACAGCGTAATAAATAAGCAACAGACTTAACAATGAATACACTAGTTTGAATATTATGTCTGTCAAATAACCCCTCTCAAAAAATCAAAAATACTTTATAACTGTGTCACGTCAACACCACCGACTGAGAAGTTTGAATGTATGAGTTATACAGTTGCGTTCACCGATGGAAAATGTTTAAAAATAGACATCACATTAAAAAACTGAATTTAATATTATAGTATGTTTAATAACTATTGAAAGATACATTAGCATATCGGTATATTTGCTCATACATTGCATAGTGTTGCATAATAGCATGTGTATGGTATACCATACATCACTACGCTATCTAGGAACGAGAGACAACAGTCATTCAAAGAAAGGCAGAGTCCCCTACATTATCCATAGATAGGAAACGGTTCTATGCCGTTTACATTAGTACATACCTTCTACCACTTAACATTATTAGGATGTTTTGTTTTCAAATTTTTCTTAAAATCTACTCTACAAAATGGCTATCTTGAACTTTTTTTTAATTTTTCGTAAATTAAAATGAAAGTTATTTTTCTGATTAAATAGAGAAACTATTATTATTTACACATTATTTGTAGTCCCAACATATAACAATTATTATGAAACAAAACACGAAATATTGACTTTTTCAAGGGCTGCAATAATGCATTTTGGTCGGTGCTTGTGGTCCATATGTGCTTTTAAAATAGATGGTTCTTGTAGTACACATATTACGAGGTTGGGTTTAATAAAAGAACATATTATTACTTGGACTAGTATAATTTTGGTGTAGACCAACTAAACCCTTTAACATTTTTCATTACTACCATAATCACAACAGTTGTGTTCGTAAAATATGTTTAACTGACTTGTTATAACTTCTGAGGCGATTGTGGCGTCTAAAGATCCATTAAAACGTAGGTTTTATTTCTTAAATATTTTGTTTTTAACTGTCAACGACACAATATTTTAGTCAAAACAATTCACGTTGTGTAATATGATCGAATGTCTAAACAATAGCATTTGCTATGATTTTTAATTTGAAACTGTTGAAAATGATTTTAATAAATAATCAAGAAAAATTAAAAGTATCATATAAAATGTTATCAAATATTATTATTGATATCACAACTCTTTCACAGCTATTAAGATGGTGTTTTATTTTAATTCCAGTAAAAGTGCATTATTTGAACAGTTTAGAACAAAAATAATTAACCTAGCCATTACAAAATTAATATTATCTATTTATTTAAAAAAATAAAAGAGTCAAGTACAATTGGGATCTAGTATAGTGGAGTTGAGGTATTTTTTAGATTAGTATTAATTTATATCTGACAGTGATTAAAATCACTATCATAAAACGTTTCAATACGTATTTGAAATATATATATATAAATAAAATACTACAAAATCATTCTTTTTTAGTGAAAATGTTATTATTTTTAGATTTGATAACTAATAACGTCTAGGAATTGGATATTTTCCGATAGTTTTTTTTTTTTCATCAGTTCATCGTATTAGCTTTAATTTAATGTGGGTTTAAAAAAAGTGGATTTTTTAATCAATATCAAAAGTTGAAAAGAAAAAATTTTTATACGATTTTTAAACGACCACAATATTTTAGTTAATCATTTATATTCAGAAAAGTATGCTATTAGCAAGGAAAATATTTGAAAAGTATATATATAAAGTATGATCAATAAAAATTATGTATCAATCTGTTAAGTTTTCTAAAATATATTATAATAAATTGAAAGCTAAAATTATCAACATTGACTGTTTTATGATATTTGTAATATTTTGGGTCACTTCTCTATATTATGGGCACAGAGGGGAATTTTTCATAACTATGGCGCTGATAGCTTCAACTAGAAACTTTGGACATATTGTTGAGCAAAATAGGTTCAGTAGAAGTGGATTAATTGTGAATAGTGACACAAAATAAGTTAAATAACAGCAAAACTTGAAAACTTTTTCTCAAAAAAACTTTTTAAAGCTTAAACGTCTTATTTCAAATCAATTCTATGTGTGTTGTACTCATGACTGGATATAAACTGGTTAATAAGTCAAACTTTTTAGCTTAATGGAGATATTTAGATTTAACATTAATTTTAGTTCAATTTCTCTTTTGTTCATTAAACGACTAAAGAAAAGAATTTTTTTGGTATTTTTCGTCAGTTTAAATACTAGTTTTAAAATATAGAAAAAAGATGAGGCCCGGCCATAACAATATTTGGCAATAAACATTTCTCGATTAAGACTCTCCATCTTTTTAGGCATAAAAATGGTAATAATTTTAGAAGTAATAGTTTTAAAAGTTGTTATCGACCAGTTATTTTGTTAATTAGATCTTTTATTACTTCATAGGCTAGTTAAATATGTACTTATATATTATTAGTAAATATGTAATTATTATTTTAAGAGAAATTGAATTTCTAGAGTTAAAAATATCATCAATTGTTTATCTCAAGTTATAATAGAGATTATTTATTTCAAAAAATCTCAAATTTTCGATATACGCGGTTTGCCACAGAGACGATAATATGACGTAATTTTGATTAATTAACATTAAAAAGAATAAATTTTTAAAAGATAAAATAACAACAAATTATGCAATACATTTTTCAATGTTTGAAAAATTACTTGTTTTGTCTTATAATAAAATTTAGCCCTCCCATAACTTTGTATTATTCTATAAATATATTTTTATAAATATACTAGTTCTTTCATTATCGTATCAAACAAGCTCTACAATATTGGTGGGTTTTTTTTTATCAAACAACAACTGTTTTAAAGTAACAGTACAATCTACGTTTTTCCTGAAAGAATAACTCGTATCTACTAAAAAAAAGCTGTTTACATAGGTATAGAATTTTTTAACTGCATTTATAAAAAAAATAACAAACTTACAGTTCTTTGAAATATGCCTTTCGGATTGCATCTTAAATAATGCGTAGTAAAAGGTTTTATGTTTTTAATCTAGTTTAAACAAATAATATTTGATAAAATTTCAACTTGCGTAGTTTTTTTGTACATTATTTAACAGTATTAAAGCTATCTGATGAAATATGGATTGAAGAAAATATTGATCAAGTACAAGTTAAAACGGAGTCTTAGAATATTTTAAATACATTGAAAATGATTTTTCTTTTTTTCAAAATAATAAAGTGATACAAAATATGATGACAGAATCTACATTGCCGACGCATATTTTATTTAGAAATAAAATCGTGATATTTGAAGCTAGTGGTTTTAATAAAAAATGTTTCTCTTTCGGAATTTCACAAGACAGGTCATCATAAATTTGAATATTATTAGATCGCTTACGAAATTAAATCCTAGTTTGAAACTGTTGTATAAACGGAAAAATTACACAACTCATTGATGTGATATTTTCTTTACAATTTTTTACTTAAACTTGAATGCAAAATTTTTTGATCCCTAAATTTTAAAAACGTAAAAAAAAAATGAACGAATAAAAAAAATACATTAAATTACGATATAGTCAATTTTAAGCTGTTTTTTTTAATAT